TAGGGGTTTGATTTCACTCTTTTGCCTGTATTTATTCAGTTGTCCTAACACCATAGGTTGAAGACTATCCTTCCCCAATTAAATGGTCTTGGCACTCTTATAAAAAAAAATAGTTTACCATAATATTTGGGTTTACTCTTAGTGTCTCAGTTTTATTTCATTGATTTATAGCACTATCCTTATGCCAATACCATACTGTCTTGATGACTAACTTTTTAGTGAGTTTGAAATCAGGAAGTGTGAGTACTCTAATTTTACTGTTCTTTTTCAAGATTATTTTGGTTATTCAGAGTCCCTTTTATTTCCATGTGGATTTAGGATCCACTTGTCAATTTCTTCACAAAATACAGCTGGTGTTTTGGTAGAGTGAGTGTGTTGAATCTGTAGGTCACTTTGGGTAGTATTGCCATCTTAACAATATTAAGTCTTCCAATCCAAGAACATGGAATTTCTACTTATTTAGATCTTCTTTAATTTCTTTCAAAGATATTTTATAGATTTTAGTGTACAAATCTTGCAATTCTTTAGCTAAATTTGTTCCTTATATTCTTTATGATGCAGTTTGAAATAGAATATTTCATTTTAAGACTGTATATTGCTGGTGTCTAGAAATATAGTTGATGTTTGCATATTGATTTTAAATCCAGAAACCCTGAGGAACTTATTAGATCTCATAAATATGTGTGTGTGTGTGTGTGTGTGTGTGTGTGTGTGTGTGTGTGTATGACTTAGCATTTTCTGTATACAAGATTATGTCACCTAAATAAAGATCATTTTACTTCTTTTTTTTTCCTTCTAGTTTGGATGCCATTATCTTTTTTTCTTACCTAATTGGCCTGGCTAGAACCTCTCATATGATGTTGAATAGAAGTGGTAATAGTGAACATTCTTAACTTGTTCCTTATCTTAGAGAGAAAGCTTTTGGTTTATACATTAAATATGATGTTGGCTGTAGATTTTTTTCATATATTTGTAAAATTAGATTAGTGCTTAGAAATTTATAGCTATAAATAATATTTTTAAAGGAATAATTTCAAATAAAATCAAACCTTCCACCTTATGAAACTTGAAAAAGAAGAGCAAATCAAACCCAAAACAAGCAGAAACAAGAAAATAAGGGTAATATTTGCCTCATAAGCTAAGTTGGAAGGTATTCTTTCCTATTTCATTTTTATGAAGTGTGCATGAAGGATTGGTTTTTTTATATGTGTGATTTAATGTTGGGTAGAATTTACCCACAAAGTCATCTGGTCTTGATCTCTGGGAATTATAATTAACATCTTAATTTATAACAATCTACTTTAGGTTCAAACCAACTTAATTTCAATAGTGTACCAAAAGTTCTGTCCTATGTAGCTCCATTCCCTCCACCTTATTTTGTGCTGTATTGTCATACAAATTACAACCTTACATATTTTGTTTCCATTAACAGATTTACAATGATTGCTTCATGTAGTCATTTTCTTAATCAGTTAGGAGATTTAGAAAGACTTACAAACAAAAACCACATTTATCCTATTATTTATGTTTACCTATGTAGTTATCTTTACAAGTTTTCTTTATTTCTTCATGTGGATTTGCACTACTATCAAATGTTCTTTTATTTTAACACAAAAGTCTCTACTATTTTTTATAGGGCAGGTTTGCTGATGATTAATTCCTTCTGTTTTTGCTTATCTGGAAATATCTTAATTTTTCTTTTATTTTAGAAGGATAGTTTTTTTGCATATAGAATTCTTAGTTGAAAGTCTTTTCCCTTTAGCACTTTGAATATTTCATCCCACTGCTTTCAGCCTTCAGAGTTTCTGATGAGAAATCAGTTGTTACTCCTATTGAAGATTCCTTATACATACCAACTTGCTTCTTTCTAGCTGCTTTCAAGATTCTCTCTTTGTTCTGGCTTTTGATGGTTTGACAATGATGTGTCTGGATATTGATCTCTTTGATTTATTCTTTTTGGAATTTGTTGGGCTTCTTAAATTTGTAAATCAATGTTTTTAATGAAATTTGGGAAACTTTTAGCTATTATTTTTCAAATATTCTCTCTGTCCTTTTCTCTTTCCCCTTGCCTTCTGGGACACTCATTATACATATGCAGATATACTTGATGGTGTTTTACAGGTCTCTGAGACTGTTCAGTTTTCTTTAGTGGGGGACCACAGGCTCTTGGTCCCTAAAGTTTGCTAAAAATCACAGAAAGGCAGATTTATTAATAGGAGAAAAGGCACACAAATTTATTTAATGTGTATACATGGGAGTCCTCAGAATGAATATCCAACTTCCCAATGAGTTATAGAAACCTATATACCATTTTGAGATTATAGAAAGAGTTGGGGCTTAGATTTTGGTTTTAAAAAAGGTTACGGGAGCCAGGAGAAGAGGCTTGGTGAACAAAGGTGGTCTTTTTATGTAGATAAAGCCACCTTCAGGGAGAAGAGATGGTAAATGTTTCTTCTCAGACTTTTAAATGTGTCAGACTTTCCATCTCTCCTAGATCTGGGGACAGGCGTAGAAAGGGGAGGTGGCACAATTGCATTAGTGGAGATTTTCCACATTAATGCAAACTTTCCCCACTTAAGACAGCTTTGCAAGATCATTTCTGCCTGCTAGCCAAGATACTGACATTTCAAAATATGTCAAAGAAATGTATTTTAGGGTAAAATATTTTAATTTCTTCCACTTTATTCTTTGTTATCTGTTGCTCAAACCAGACGATCTTAATTGGCAAATCTTAACTTCACTAACTCTTCTGCCTATTCCAATCTGCTGTTGAGCTCTTCTAGTGAATTCTTCATTTCATTTATTTTCACTTTCAACTCCAGAATGTCTATTTGGTTCTTTTTAAACAATTTCTGACTCTTATTAGTGTTCTTGATTTGGTGAGACATTATTCTCATAATTTCCTCTATAGATATGATCTCCTTTAGTTCTTTAAACATATTTTAAAACAGTAGATTTAAAGACTTTGTCTATTAAGTCTAACATCAAGACTTCCTCAGGGAAAGTGTTTGTTAGTTGCTTTTTTTCTTGTGTAAGAGCCATGGTTTTTTGTCTCTTATATATTGTAATTTTTTTGTTGAAAACTGGATGTTTTAAAAAATATAATGTGGCCACTCTGTATATTAGTTTCTTTCTCCTCCCCAGGGTTTGTTGTCATCACTGTTTTTGCTGCTGTTTGCTTGTTTAGTGACTTTTTCTGAAATTCTATAAAATCTATATCCTTTGTCGGGGTGGACACTGAAGTCTTTGTTGAGTTAGCTTAGGGATTAGCTAATGATTGAACAGATTTCTTTAAATGCCTGGAATCAATAAATCTAGCCTTTGCAGATGGACTCTGTGTGTGTGTGTGTGTGTGTGTGTGTGTTTGTTTGCTGGAGCATGCCTTCAACAGTCAACCAGGCAAATTACAACTGTACCTTATTCTTTCTTCACATCCTGCTTGTGCGGAGCCTCAAGGTCAGCCAGAGGCAAGAGCTTACTTGGGGCCTTTTCAGGCCTTTTCTGAGTATGCACACAGTTCTATGCATACTCACAGTTACACATGTGTATGGCCTTCTAGATTCCAAAAAATATAATGGAGCTTATTAACACTCATTTCTCAGATTTTCCTTTTTTTTTTTTTTTTTTTTTTTGAGACAGAGTCTCACTCTGTTGCCTAGGCTGGAGTGCAGTGGTGTAATCTTGACTCACTGCAACCTCTGCCTCACACTCAACTGATTCTCATGTCTCAGCCTCCCAAGTAGCTAGGATTACAGACATGCAGCACCATACCTGGCTCTAGATAGATAGATAGATAAATTTTAGTACAGGTGAGTTTTAACCGTACTGGCCAGGCTGGTCTCAAACTCCCAGCCTCAAGTGATCCACCTGCCTCCCTTAGCCTCCCAAGTGCTGGGATTACAGGTATGAGCCACTGCCTCTGGCCTCTCAGCTTTTCCTTTTAAGCTTCTTAGTTGAGGCCTATTTTTTGCCACAATTGTTACCTACTAACTCAGGCAGCTCTGAAATTAAACAGTGGTTTCTTATTGTTCCAGCAAATGCCCCTAGGGAAATGGCTGTTTACACTGGACCATCTCCTAGTCAGGTCAAATAAAGACAGCTTTGTAAGTGGTCTTTCAGGTAATCACCAGACTGTTTAAATAATGAAAATACTCTTGGAATGAAATAGGTGTTAAAGGAGCTCCAACCCCATTCTGCCCCTTATGGTGTCTGCCAGGCTACTGAGTTTTCACTGCAGTTGTGGGCTGTTGTTTTTCAAGGCTACCATGGAGCTGGGAATGAGGGCCAGGGTAACAGTGGATAGGCATAGGGCAAGTTAAAATGCTACAAAGCTCAGTGTTCGAAGTTTCAGCCATTTGTTGTTGTTATTTTATAAATTTTCCAGGATTTTTGCAACACTTTCATTAATTTCCAGAGTTTTAATAAAGTTGTTCTAACCATCTTTGCCAATCTCTCATCACTTTTATGGAGACGAGAATTTTATCCTTCATTTTTATGAGGAGAAAATAACAGGTTCTTACTCTGTCATGTTTACCACCATCACCCCTTAACTAAAAGTTTTTAGGAAATTGAAGTGGACTTTTACTCTCTCAAGTCGGAGTGTAAGGAAGGTTGGCTTTTTAATGGCACATAGGTCAATAAGGGAAAAAGGATCTCATGGAAATCTAAGAAAAGGAATTCATGGCTTTGTCTTATCCTGGATCTGTCTTATCCCTCATTAGACAAAGCTTTCCACATTGGGGCACCTGACATGCTACTTCCCAGCCTTTGAATTATCTACCCTTAAGCTTTATGCCTCTGTAGCTGTGGTGAGATGATGTGTTACAGCAGAAGGCTGCCTAAGATTGTACTGTAAGCAGAAACTACTCACAGGAAGATTTCCATGTGAAGGCCTATGGGTGGGAACAAGGTGCAATATACAGTTCGCTCTGTGTGGCCTGTAATTTTTTTGTTGAACATAATGATGACTGAAAAGTTATGATTAACACTTATTATTTCAGGAGCAGATATAATCCAGCTAATCAGAAGATAGTGAGCGCCAAGAGAGGACCAGTAAAAAAGATTACAAGATCAAACCATCTTCCAGAACTCTATTCGTGATTCCAGAACTGGGTGGATTTCTATTTCTTCCTTTTTTTCCCCCATCTATAATATTCAACTTGTGAAATTAATGGTCAGCACATTTCTTCAGGGAATAAAATAAATAAGAAAGAACAGCCAAAATTTTCTTTAACTCATCTTCCAGAAATGTGTTCCTTTGTCTGCATAAAAGTAATTTTCTCCAGTGACCCTAAACTAACTCACAAGAAGTGCTTGTGAGTTTTAAAATATCCTAGGAGATCTGAAGGCTGGTGTAATCACAGCTGCTTTTAGTAATAGGCCCATGATCAGCTCTGATAGTAGCATTGCTATTCTATTTGGTTTCTGGTTGGCTGTTAGCTAAAAGTATGTATTCATAAAATCTTTTTGCCATTTTGGGCTGCATCTTGCTCAGTTTTTTAAATCACAGGTTTAAACAAAGCCAAAAATCAAGTCCATTTTAAATTTTGACTTGATATATGGTATTGTAGAACAATCTTCAATCATGAATCAACGTGTTCATTGTTTCTACTGTGCCATGAACTTACGAGATCTTGGGCAAGTCCCTCTACCTCATGTTTATTTCCCACAGCTATAAAATGATTGAAGCAAACTATGCACTTTCTAAGGTTTTTTACAATTCTAGAAAAGCAATATTTATTCAATCATAAGGTCCTGCCACTTACTTAGCACTGGTGATTTAAGTCATTTTGTGACATGATAATTCATAGCGACGGATGACGGACTAAATCTTTAGACCAAACTGCAAGTGTTCATAATACTCAAGTCCAGAAGTGTAGATGGAATGAGGATAAGAAAAGAGAATTCTTTTGAGGCATTTACAAAACTTATTGAATCGTCTCATTCATGGTAAGACTGTTTTTGTCTTTAGATAGTTTTTGTAACTATCACCTAGGCCTGGAACATATAACTTATTTGTCCACTTCAATAAGTGAAGTCATTGGACTTTAAATTCATAGAAATCACCCAGGTAAGTATAGTTTCCAGCTAATGGCGTTCTCACTCTATGTCCTGCACAAAACCTGAATTCTATTCTGTATCATCAGTAATGAATACCAAATGCATTTCTATAACTACTTCTGTAGAAGTTTTTTTTTTTTAAGGAAGAATATATAAATTTAATATAGCCAAAAATATTTTTACATGACTTTAAAATGTAATGCAGAGAAATATAAAGTAACTTTCTGTAAGTTACTCTACAATGGAATTATTTGTGAACATTTTCCCCTATTGTTTAGCTAACTATTGATATTAGGTGCCTTGACCCATATCATTAGACAAACATTAGATTTTTATGTCTTATACCATCTTTCTTAGCATTAGTAGAAAATGAATAATTTAAATACCAATCATTATAGGCTGGGTGTAGAGGCTCACACTTGTAATTCTAGTACTTTGAGAGGCCAAGGTAGGCAGATCACTTGAGTCCAAGAGTTCGAGACCAGCCTGGCCAACATGGCAAAACTTGTCTCTACTTAAAAAAAAAAAAAAAATATATATATATATATATATATGAATTATGCTGGAGTGGTTGTGCATGCCTATAATCTCAGCTACTCAGGAGACTGAGTCACAAGAATCACTTGAATCCAGGAGGCAGAGGTTGCAGTGACCTGAGATCATTCCACTGCACTCCAGCTTGGGAGACAGAGTGAGATTCTGTTTAAAAAAATTATAATTATCAATGAAAAATAAACACTTTTTTTTTCATACAGAGCTACGCTATTGTGGGGATGATTGAGGAACATTTAAAGTTATCTCAAATCACTGGGATGAAATATTAGTTGAACATCTTATCACAGGGACTCTATTCCATTTAGGTGTTGGTTCTGCAGGAGCTGCTTTGGGATACTTTTCAGATGTCATAAAATGTCTGTATTAAACAGAATGATGATATGTTGAGACAGTATGAAGAACTGAAATGAGGGACTCCAAAATCTGTGTTCTAATATCAGTTTTGCCACTTATAAGCTTCTGACTTTCAGTAAAAAACTTTTCATATCCTGTTTCTTCCTTTACAGTGTTGGGAATATTTACCTTAATTACTGCCTTGGGATTGCTGTGCAGATCAAGGGTACTTACCACATATTTATTTCTTTAATAGCCTCATTCCCACTAAAAAGGATGTGAGTTAGCTTTTACTAAATATGGAGGTATCAAAAATACCTACAAGACAAAAGATGAAAATTAAAATTTAGCAAGAATTTTCTACTAAGAAAAGTTTTAGTCTTAAACCTTCTACCATTCAGTGCAAAGAAGCAATGACTGCTTTCCTCTGTAGAAGGAATCTACAAGTAGAGAAAAAGCTGTATCTAGTTCTAAGCTCTGAAGGTAATTTGTCATAAAGAAAATGCAGTTACTGGCCGGGTATGGTGGCTCACACTGCCTATCACTTTGGGAGGCTGAGGCGGGTGAATTGCTTGAGCCCACAAATTCCAGACTGGCCTGAGCAACATTGCAAAACCCCATCTCTACAAAAAATACAAAAATGGTTATAACCAAGTGTGGTGGTGTGTGCCTGTAGCCCTGCTACTCAGAAGGCTAAGGTGGGAGGATCACTTGAGCCAGACCAGGAGGTTGAGGCTGCAGTGAGCCATGATCATGCCACTGCACTCCAGCCTGTGTGACAGAGTGAGACCCTGTCTCAAAGAAAAATTTAAAAGATCTAATTATTTGTTGAAGTAACCACTGCAAAAATGACAGTTTAGGGTCTTTGACACTCAAATATGTATTGATTTCAGTATTTGTTTTGTTGGAAAGTTCAGAATTCATAAAGCAAAACAATCAGTAAAACAATATATATTTAAAAATTTAAGATATCTAAATGTATTACAAAATGTCAAGACATACCATTTTTAAAAACAAATATTGCTGTAATAAAAAAGATAATGAGTATTGACAAGAGTGTGAAGAACGTGGAAGCTTCATATGTTGCTGGTGGGGATGTAAAATGATGCAGCCACTTTGGAAAACAGTCAGTCCCTCAAAAGGTTTAACTTAGACTTACCATATGACACAGTAAGTCTCTTACGTATATGCCCAAGGGAAATGGAAAGCTATGTCCACGTAAAAACATGTACAGGAAGGTTTTTGGCACCGTTATTCAAATAGCCAAAAAGTGGAAACAACCCAAATGTTGATCAGCTGATGTTTGGGTAAATAAAATGTAGTATATTCAAACAATGGATGTTATTTGGTAGTAGAAAGGAATGAAATGCTGATATATACTACAACATGAGTAAACCTGGGAAACATTATCCTAAAAATAATGGAATAACAAAAGACCATATATTGCACAATTCCATTTATATGAAATGTCCAAAACAGGCAAATCATAAAGACAGAAGATAGATCAGTAGTCGCTGAGGGTTGATGGAAGGGTCGGTGATGGAGAATGACTGCTAATGAGTACCGGACTCCTTTTAGGGGTGATGAAAATATTCTAAAATTGATTCTAGTGACAGTTGCACAATCCTGTGAAAATAAAACTATTGTATACTTTAAGTGGGTTGACGGTATGTTTTGTGATTTATACCTCAGGTTGTTGTAAAAAAAAGTTAAATATATATTAACATTTTAATATTAATTAGTAGATAAATGTTAATGAAATATTATTTGATCTTTCTCAAAAATATGATCCTAAAAATACAAAAATGCATCATCGCTAGTGCTATTACTGGGTACAGAGCCTACTTTTTATTTATGTATTTGTGTGTGTGTGTGTGTGTGTGTGTGTGTGTGTAAAAATACAATATACTGGTTGGAATATCTGCTTTATTAGCATACTTGTTCTTTCTCTCTCCTTCTTCACATTGCTTCAAACAGCCACCTCTTAAAACAAGAACTGGACCCTTTAGAGGTCATTTGCTTGGAGACATTGGCTTTCAATGCTGCACATGTGGCTGGGCCAATTAGAAAACAGGACACACCTTGGATGAAAAGCACTTTAGCTCACTTGCTTACATGGGTCCTCAACCTTAGCCGTGTGACAGACTCACCTGAAGAGCTTAAAGCAAAATATTCAAGCGTGTGTACCACCCCCAGGATTGTGATCTCACATTTATTTCATTAAGCCTCCCCCAGGAAATTGTGCAGAAAAGATTGGGACCCACTCTGCTGGTTCAGTGTGGCTCCATCTCTCAAACTGAATGAAACTTCTTCCAACTCTCCTCAAGCTGACTTCACGTTGGTCTTATTATTTTTACTTTTTTCAGTGAGAGATAAGGATTTTATTTTTTCTTCGTTGTTATTTATTTCAAGTCTTATTTTAGACTCGGGGGTACGTGTGCAGGTTTGCTACCCTGGTATATTGTGTAATGCTGAAGTTAGGGGCACAAATAATCCAGTCACACAGGCACTCAGCATAGTACTCAACAGTTGTTTGTCAATGTTTGCTCTTTTCTCCCTCCAGCCTCTAGTAGTCCCCCATGTCTGTTGTTGCTATCTTTATGTCATGAGTACTCAGTGTTTGGCTATCACCTGTAAGCGAGAACATGCAGTATTTGGTTTCTTATTCCTGTGTTAATTTGCATAGGAAATTGGTCTCTAGCTGCATCCATATTGTTACAAAGGACATGATTTCATTTTTTATGACTGTGTAGTATTCCATGGTGTGTTTCAGGAGTGCCTGGCCTCTGTCGGTGGACTGGTACCCATCCATGGCCTGTTAGGAACCAGGCTGCATAGCAGGAGGTGAGCTGTGAGCAAGCAAGCATTACCACCTGAACTCTACCTCCTGTCAGATCAGCAGCAGCATTAAATTCTCATAGAAGCATGAACTCTATTGTGAACTGTGCATGTGAGGGATCTAGGTTGCGTACTCCTATTGAGAATCTAATGCCAGATGAGAATTTAATGACTAATCTGAGGTAGAACAGTTTAATGCTAAAGCCATCCGCTCCCCACAATGCAGTCCATGGAAAAATTATTTTCTATGAAAGCATTTTTGCTGTCAAAAGAGTTGGGGACCACTGGTGTATATATAGCACATTTTCTTTATTCAGTCCACTGTTGATGGGCACCTAGGCTGACTCTATGTCTTTACTATTGTGAATAGTGCTGCGATGCGCATGCTAGTGCACCTGTCTTTTTAGTAGAAAGATTTGTTTTCTTTTGGATACATTCCCAATAATAGTAAGATTGCTGGGTCAAAGGGTAGTTTTAAGTTCTTTGAGAAATCTTCTTAAAGGATATTGAATATTGGCCCCCACTCTCTTCTGGCTTGTAGGGT